AAGAAAGGTTGTTATGGTACGCATACATTGGGAGCAGCAGTGAATGCAGCTGGCATGACACGATAGGGTGCACTATGGCTAGTCATGTCGGCGGGGCTGGGTTGTTGCATTCACTCCTGTTCCCTGCGCCATAGCAGAGAAAAGTCATGCCTGTCAAACATCTTCGCTTCCGGCATAGCCGGAAGTATCGGACGGACGCAAATTTAAATATTCAAAAAAAACACAGTTACACAAAAAAAAGCTGGAAAAGAAACGTTAAAATCAAATATTTAAAACAAGCTGAAAATCTACAAAAGGAAAATCTAAACTAAAAATCGAAATAAAAAGAAATGATCAAAACAAGAAAATCCTATGGCCTAATATGAGGCACCACCGCTGGTATTGTGGTGCCTGGTGCTGGCCCACCCTCGCCATGGCTACCGGCGCACCCTAATATCAGTAGCCCCATTTCCGAAATCCTATCGTGCCTTCTCAAATAACGGAAAGAGTCAGCATTCCCATTTTATAAAACAAGTTTATTTATAAAAATTCATTTTCCTTATATCTAATTCTTAAAACTAGCTAACATAAATCCTAACATCAAGAAAAAAAAAATCTAAAGTAAGTATACTAATAGTAAGACTACAACTAAGGTAAGTACTAAGGTCAAGATCAACGGTAATTATAAGAAGGTTAAGTACGTCAGGTAGGTATATCAATATTTATAATTAGGGCAGGTAGGTAACTTTAAGGAAAGTCTGGTAAGGTAGGTCCGGTAATTATATAAACGACAAAGTTAATTTTAGTAGGGCAGGTAAGTAAGCCAATTCCCTATATTTATATAATTAAAATTTTTATTTTTTTCCTCGTTTTAGGGTTTTAAAATATTTCCCTTTTTCTTTATATATATATATGGTTAACTCAGTTAATAACGTTCGTTTTATTTTTTTGAAATTGGTATTTATCTATCTATTCAAAATTAAGGGTATTTAGGTTCAAAGACTTTTTAGCTTCACCTTTTGTAAATCTTAAAAATAAATGTTTTTTTTCTTGTAGATAATTCAACCTTAATCTTTTCTATAGCTAAATTTATTTAGTACTAAATTTTATTTCTTCAATTGTATTCCTTTAACTAGTGCTCCGTTTCTTTACTTTAATTTTCTCTAGCTAGNTTGTAGATAATTCAACCTTAATCTTTTCTATAGCTAAATCTATTTAGTACTAAATTTTATTTCTTCAATTATATTCCTTTAACTAGTGCTCTGTTTCTTTACTTTAAATTTCTCTAGCTAGGAGACAAACCATTTATGGTTGCCCTTGTTATTAATTTTAAGCGAGCTTTTGATATACCTTAAGCATATATAAATTGCTTTTCAGTTTACGTTATGTTCTTAATTTCCCTACATGTTATCTGATTTTAATCGAGTTTATCTCTTATTATTAAAGCCACGTTTTAGTTTTCTGTGGTTTCTTTTAGTTCGTTTAAGGGGAAAAAATCTTTGTTTTACGTTCAGTCGATGAGAAATTTATTTTTCCACTTTGAATTTATCTGGCACTCACCCACCGTTGCAGCAGACTGGTAGGGCCTGCTGTTGTTGTCGTCGTTGCTAGTTGGTGTTGTTGTAGCTGGTGGTTGGAGTTGTAGCCGGTTGTTGCCCATATGGCTGCGGCGTTGCAGCCGTTGTTGTTGTTGCCTTTCTGTGGCGGTTAAGCTGTAATGCAGCTGTTAGAGGAGCTGCCTGTGTGGCTGCGGCTGGGGCAGCCGGTGCTGTTGTTGCCGCCCTGTGGCGGTTCGTTGTCGTTGCGGCTGCGGCTGGGACAGCCGTTGCTTTGGTTGCCGCCTTGGCTCTGGCGGTTGCGGGGTTGCGATGTCGCTGCTACGTTGCAGCCGTTGCAGAGCAGACTCGCTTAGAGCGGACTAGCGCAGCTGTAAATAAAACAAAAACCAGAGGACAGGTTAGAAGAGGAACAATCCTCATGGAACACAATGTGCGAGATGGCCTGAGCTAGAATCCCATTACTTATGGGCTTCCCATAATTATTCAAAAAAAACTTACCTTACTGCCAATATGGGGTAGTAATTAGTGGCATCTCAACTCNTGCGTTGCAGCCGTTGTTGTTGTTGCCTTTCTGTGGCGGTTAAGCTGTGAACGCTGCTGTGATGCAGCCGTTAGAGTAGCTGCCTGTGTGGCTGCGGCTGGGGCAGCCGTTGCTGTTGTTGCCGCCCTGTGGCGGTTCGCTGTCGTTGCGGCTGCGGCTGGGACAGCCGTTGCTTTGGTTGCCGCCTTGGCTCTGGCGGTTGCGGGGGTGCGATGTCGCTGCTACGTTGCAGCCGTTGCAGAGCAGACTCGCTTAGAGCGGACTAGCGCAACTGTAAATAAAACAAAAACCAGAGGACAGGTTAGAAGAGGAAAAATCCTCATGGAACACAATGTGCGAGATGGCCTGAGCTAGAACCCCATTACTTATGGGCTTCCCATAATTATACAAAAAAAACTTACCTTACTGCCTATATGGGGTAGTAATTAGCGGCTTTTGGAGGGTGCTCCTGAATTCGCCTTTCCTCACCTCCAGTTTTCTCGTTCGCAAGTTTTCATCTCTCCAATACGCAATCCGGTTGTTTGGAAGGATATTCTGTTATATATATAGAATTCGACCTTTACTTATAAATCCCGTTGCCTTTTTTTGTTTTTTTTTTATGTTACCATGATAAAAACACTCATAAGGTACAATCGCTGAGGCAAATTCAAGAATATTGACGTTTGCCAGCATTTTTGAAAAATTCTCTCGCCGTCATTTAATTTGTTTGTTTTATTTTCACTCGGACCAAAGAAATATACATATTTCTGTCGAAACAACAAAATCTGAATGTACATAAATACATATATGCAATTGTGTGTAATGAGCTTCTACCCGCATGTTGAGGCGAAGATTTTGGCATCTATTTAAACCCAATTTAACCTTAAGCAGTGTTTGCATTATCCACACACTGCACTTTTGCACCACACTATCTTGGGTTAAGTGGTGTGACAAAAATGAGTCTGTCACACGGTGGAGAGAATACAGAGGTGGCGCCGATGACGATACCGCTACTCGGCTCTCAGTGATTTTGACAGAATCAGCTGTTTTGGTGACGTCATAGTAGAGAAGACAGCAGTAGTGATGTGCTGAGTCAATACTTTTAAGTACCCAATACTCTCGATACTCGGTACCGAAACATTTAGGTTTCGAATAAAAGCGCACATAGGCCAAAAATATGGAAAAAACGCCTAACAAAACCCGAATGTAAGAGCCAATAGAACTTTTTTACTGATTCAAATGAAAGATGTATATATGTCGGTTCGATGCCATAATACAGAGAAACCCTTACTTGTTTGAAGCATTTTTGTTCCAGCTGAATCGGACGATATCATTTTTGTAGGCCTGGGACAGATTCTGTAACCAGTTAACGACAATTTTCGAATCGGTATCGGTTTTGTCGACGTTTGATATCAAATATTTGTAAGTCAACAAGTGCGATATCGATCCGAAACTTGTCGCTAACTGGCTACAGAATCTCTCCCCTGAAAGGCTTCTTCATCCGTCAAAGTATTTTTCTTGAACCTTGGATCGACTAAGGTTAAAACTGATAAAATAATATTTTTCTGTGGCGATAAGTTCAAGTGTTTTAGCCGATATCATATAAATTAGTAATGAAAATTTTTTTCTAAACCTGAAATGCATATAATGGCGAGGATTTAATGTAAATAATCGGTATCGGATACCGAAAAGGAAGTATAGGGTACCGAAATCTTTTTTAAGTATTGGGTACCGAGTATTGGGGACAATTCAGCACATCACTAGTCGCCCTCATTCTCGCCGCTCTCAGTTGTCAACTCTACGATGACGTCACGCTAAAATTACTCTCACGAATTCTGCTGCAATCGGCGCAATCTTGTATTCTATCATTCTTGAGTCTGTCACATATAGGGGCACTTTGGAAACTCCGCTTCCGTAACACCACATACCTCGATCAAATTTTGCCGTATATACGGTAATTGCGGGAACTTAGAGAATTTCATATTGGTTTGCTTGCAGAGGAAAACGGTATTTGCGCAGCCGCTGAAACAGTAACTGATTTTCTTCACTAGATTCCAAAGTAATAGCGGGCGAATTGAGAGAGCGGTTCCACCTTCAAATGCTTCTATCATGGTTTTTACCAAGGCGAATTTATATAAGGTGGTGTTACTAGCTCAGCTGATTTTGTGTATGTGTTTCGCCGCACGGCTTCTGATATCAAATTGAAAAATTTTGTTTGAATTTCTACACACACTCTTACAGATTTTGACAGTTTATGCCGCCAAAGCAAAAACAAAATACATGTAAATTTTTGTTTTTGTACTCCTGCTATCACCTTATATTAATTCGCCTTGGTTTTTACTTTTCGCTAGGGATGTGCGACTAATCATTTGATCGAACAAGCAGACTAAAAGGGCCCATGTACGATACCAGCACGCTGGCTAATTGCTCAATCAAAGAATCACATATTGATCAATCAGAATCCAATCAATATATTATATATTGCCTTCCATACATATGTATGTATCAGAGCTGTGTAATGATTGAATCAATTGAGTGTGCATT